ATAAAGAAAATTAAATTTAATGAAAATATTAACGTAAACTTATATTGTTCCAAAATATTTTAATTTCCTTGATTTCATAACTAAATAAAAAAAATAAAATAAAATTCATAATAATTATAATCAGTAAAACATTATATAGTTTTGATAAAATCAAGGATTGTGTAGCAGAGTTAGAAGTAGGTACAATCAAATAATAATAATTTAAATGTGATGTAAAGTGATAGAAGTTTTATTTTATAATAATATTATAATATTGACTATCATAAATGTATTATTATGTAGATATATAGGTTATGAATTACACGAATTGCATGAAGTATGTATTCAATCTCATGAGTTGAATTTACACATTAAGAATTTTTATTAAATTAATTATTGTAAAAATAAATTAATGAAACGTAAATAATAGACAATGTTGTACATAAAAAAATTAACTCTTTTTGTAACACAAGCACAAGCTTTAAAAAAAAAAAAAAAAAATCAAAGGAATAATAAAAATATATATATATATATTTATACATCAATTTGTACAATGTGACATCAGTGATTGTTATTATTATTTTTATTGTTTTTGATGTCAATAAATATTATCATATTATATTATATTATATTAAAAATATGGATACACGAATAATAGTATTATTTTGTAAATAGTTAATCTTATTTGTAATGGTTTTTAAAATTAATTTGAATTTACACTATTTAAATTTTTTATATAATTAATGTTCAAAAAACTGTGGATAATATGTTGATTTTTAGCGGGAAACTATTTTTAATGGACCACAATTGTATGAGTATTGGTGCTAAAAAAGCGTGTGGCACTATGTTTCTCTTAAACAAATTATAACACATTTTGGATATTTGATGGGAATTTTTAATATACGACAGGTATTGTATACTTGAAATGAATTAATGTATAATAATATTGTGTTTACCATTATTACTAAACGTTGACAATGTATAGAGCTATTATTTGAAGATAATCCTAATGTACATATGGTCAGTGAAATTAATAATAAAAATACTTCATCAATTTAATATCACTCATATTTTTTATAATTCATATATTTTTTTAATTTATTCATTATTTATTTCTTTTTTACAAATATCTAACATTAGAGAGTTTTCGTACTTAATGGGATAAAAACGTACATTCGTAGTAAATTTTCAAATCAAGATATATATATTATACTATACCAATACGCAATGAGCTTATTTTACAAAAATTAACGGAGCTAATCTGTTGTGTGTTTGAAAATATTTCAAATTTATAGAAAATTTATATGAATTTATACTGTTGTTTGTGTCTTTGTATTTTTATTATATCCAAACCCAAAAATATGGGTGTAGAGAATGTATGATGCAATGAGATATTATATTATCTTTTTCAAGATGTGATATTCAAAATTCGATAACTAAACGATTTATGGATTTGTAAAACTATAAATTTAAATATTTTAAGAATTTATTATATACATATCACTCTAATACGGTAAATATGTATGAAATATGAAAACAAATTGAATTGTATACAGTGATATTACGCTATTATTTTATTATAAAAACCTCATTTATTAAGTTATTAAGTGTTTTTAAATACACTTAAAATAAAGTAAAAAATTTTGTTATTCGCATATCGGTTGCAAACCATGCGCATAGTAGTTAGCGAAGTTAAAAGTTGAGATGACTTTACTGTATCTGGCAACAGGAAATTAATTTAAACTCAAAATACGTATTTGGAAAGACAAAATTGTAATATTTGTATATTCTTACAAGATGTTGTATTACTATAATATTAACAAAACAAAATAAAATGTAATCTTGTATTTATTATTACAGAACACATATATTATAATAATTATAATATACGTGTTCTGTAATTATGTCTTAAATGTAATTGTTAATTGTAATTGTTCTAAATATTGATACAATTACTGTATATTATTATACGAAAACGGTCAATATTGAAATACTTTTATTTATATTTAACACTACCAAACGAAAACGGATTATTTTAAAGTTTCAGATACAATTTTAACTTAAAATTTAATTTTAATTTCTATGGAAATAGATGTACTAAAGAAATTTGTAGTTAATAATTACGTTGAATTAATCCTGTTAAACTGTGAAATTAAATAAGTTACTTTTTAAAAGTTCTACAAAACTGTATTATATATTTTTGAATGGTAATTTTATAGAAATATTATAGCATTATATTTTGGTCTGATAAATTTATAGATTCAATTTACATACAACGACATAATTTATATTGATCTATATATAAATATAATATTTTATATACAAATACAAAATTATATACTTGCGGTGCGAGAACAATGATTTATTGGAAGTATTTCAGATAACAAAAAATAATTTATTTATATATAAATATATAAATGCAATGACGCACACGAAGGAAAAAAGCAATATACTCGTGTTTGTAACGCATGTTAAAAATCTAAAAATAAAAACAGACAGCATGTTCGAAATCAGATTAATTCGATGAAATATAAATTGAAGTTGGTATAAAACTTAAAACTGATATATTTATGAAGATCTACTGCCATGTATACTGTTGCATATAAAGTTGCACGGGTTTCATTACTTGATTTTATGGTGTAGACAGTAGATATACTGCGAGATCGACTATTTTCAATTATATTTTTCCGTTCAAAACAATCCAATTTCTTCTATATATAATAAGTCACATTTAAGCCATTTCTTTGGCATTTGTTATTCATGAACCCCGAAATGGTGATTGAATTTGTTTGAAAACATGTTTTATACAAAGTATTCTCGCCTTAAATAAAATCTCGATGGATTTTAACAATTTCTCTGCGCATTTTCCTGCATTGTTTAAAAAACAATTTTAATATTTACGTCATAATGGTTTTCGTTTAATTTAACGCGATTAGGTTAAACATTTTCTTGAGACACGATCAACATGTGATAATCTTTTACGACAGTGTACTGCAGCCGCCATTGTTTCATAAGAATATTTAGTGTGCGTTTCCGTGAAACTTAATGCTACGGAAATTTACAATTCTCAATATAACTGAGTTTACGCAAATATTTTTTAACATTAAAACGAGGATTTTATCACACCATCGTCCCATACCACCTTATGGTTGTAATACCAACTTCATCTAGGGGTCTTATTATTATACGAGTATACGTAATATAAAAGCATTTTGCACCTTTCGAAATGTTACCCACATATGAATTGCTCATAAACTTTTACTATAATTTATTTAATTTTATTTCCTCGAAGAAACCAAAAATGACTATGTGCCTCGATGGTATACTACTCCCATTTGTTAATTATAGTATTTAAGATATTTATGCGTCAAAAACGGTTTTCTTCCGAATCGTTAGGATATTTGATTTGCAGGTAAACACGTTTTTCAACTATTAATATGAAAACAAAATGTATGTTTAAACCACATTTTTTCGTAAGTATGTCTAAAGCTTTACACAATTTTAAGTTCTCATCTATTAAACTTTACTTACTCACGTTTTTAAAATTTACTTGGATTTGTTTTCCGTGTACTCTACGCTTTATTTAGATTTTTTCATTTCGTATGCACAGTTTTAGACGATAATTTGTGTAACTCAATCGACACGCATATAAAAATGTTCCCTTTATTCTTTTGCATAGCAGTATAATTCACAGATATTTTCAAAGCTTTATTTCGTAATAACGCCATTTGGATATGAATTTATTAGAACATTATATTTTTCAAATTGAAATGAAGTTTAGCATTTATATTCATTTATCAAATGGTTTAGAATTACAGCATATAACATTTAAGTCAAAAACATTCATGATACCAGTATTTATATAAATAACTTTTATTTGAATATCTGTATATTCGTAAATAATTAAAAGTGCCGAATAATATAGTGCGATGAGAAATAAAAAAACAAACGAGGATGAAAAAAAAAAATTAAGAGGAAAAGTGTTTTATATGATATTACACCGAATAGTTATATACATAGGTCTTGATTTGAATACGCGCAGATTACGGTGGAATTGCATAGTTGTGATTCTCTTCTGTCATTCCGAAAAATTAAATCAAACTATAATATAATGTTTCACAATAGACGCGTAAGTAAAATATTGCATTTTATAGAACGTTTAGAAAGAAATAAGTAGAATTAGTCGGATAAGTGTAAATGGATTTGAACCATTTTGATGACTTTACGGCAAGTTATTCAAGGTGAAGGTAAAAGAGATGTTTTTAGGAGGATGAGAATTGAAGATACTTCTGGAATTTCATTATTACGCACATGCATAATATACATCGTATTGGATTATACAACGTGATTTGATACTTGGAAGGAGGGAGGAATAGAACTATCGTTAAATAATAAAATAAATCGCAGAAGTAGATACCGTTTACGTCACTTTACACGTGGCCTCAGGAACTTTTGGTAATATTATTTTTATTAATATTATCATGATTATTATTTGGTCCTTGCCTATCACACCGCGGCTATATACGTAATACAGTTCCTCGAACTCATGTAATTTATACCGCTGATAAATAACCCCCGGCGTTAGACTGTCGATGTTTTCCGTTTCATTTGCATCGGACACTATGTATATACGCGACAGGAAATAGGTTATCGGTGTCCGGCCGCCTCCAGCAAAAGTGATAACGTCACCGCCGCAGCGGAAATGCATTATTGTTGTCTACCTTGCAAATAGCTGTTGCAAATATACGATATGATATATTTAGTCGTTTTATTCGCCATTACTGTTTTTTTTTTTTTTTTTTTTTATACTAAAAAAAGCGTATATTCCGGAACTCCGTGGACTTTGTATATCGGCCGAGAATAAGGTTACATTGTCACATACGCGCATATAGGGTTACGCGATTACAGACCGATGAAATACGACTGGCGTATCTACCTATATTTATGCTCAGTAGAAAAGAGAAAATACCTGAATTCTGATAAAAACAAAAAATAAAAAAACCTACACTAAGATATCTTACTTCAATTGACGTTATCTGAAGACGTTTTGTGCATTACTCTCTCGAAATATATTCAACGTCTGAAAAAATAAATATATAACATTGTTAAACGTATTTATTATAGTTAACAACATTCGAAAATAATACGTTTTTGTATAATATTCGGTAGATTTATGGTGCGGTTGTATCGTGGCAAACGTGTTCGAAGTTTTAAGTGGAATGCGCTTGCAGCCTTCGAGACGTGGAGTGCGTGAGTACAAGCGAACGTGGCCATTCGATGATAATATGAAATTGAGATACGCAAATGTTTTCGATTTACTCTGTAGCATAATGTCATAGTTGGACTCAGGAACGGTTAAATTAGAAAAACTACAGTTGCCGCAAAAGCTGCGCGTGTACAGAGTGATCTACTTTTTCGCAAAAGGTCCCCAGGTGATTGTCAAGTTTATGGATATTGTTGAATACGCATCGAGATCTTAAGTGGACCTTCTCGTCTGATACTTAAAGTTTTGCGAAACGGTATATATGTACAATGTGTATAATACATAATCTGTAGCGGTTAACGTGACATAAGTTACTCACGTAATGTAATTGCAATGGTCGATATATGAGTTAAACTTATGGCCCAGGTCAATGGACTAAGAACGATTAAATATAAGGGAATCGATAATATAATACATATAATATATATATATAAATATTAATACAATATAATAAAGATAGATTAACTAGGAAAAAAACGAGGAAAAAGGAGTCGATCGAAGTGATAACATCACCCTATGGTTCTCAAAAAAAAAAAACAATTTTAATTTGAGATTATCAGACATTCCTAGTTTATCAATTACAGTTAAAAATGTATTTTAAATGGATTAAAATTTTCAAATATATTTAAAATGTAGATAAAAATTGAATTACGTGTGATTTAAAATGTATTCTTTTTTGAATTTTATAGATCTCCTTCTTAAATTTTGTAATCTTGGTCGTGATCCATCTCTGATGATTGTGTACTATAAATTTACGATAACTTGAATAGAAACTCTGATGCACCAATAAAAAAATATTTCTATGCACGTGATGATTAGGTGTTATAATTAAATATATTAATATAATACCCGTCCATTTTAGCCTATAATGGTTCTATACAGTTCAAGAAAAATGTGTATAATAATACTCAAGACACGATATTTTCTTTTAATTTTTATATTTTAAGTGTTATTATATTAAAATTTTTTTGAAATGTTTAATAATGTTAAATTTATGATTTATATAGTTAATAATATTTTCTTGGTCAAATAATTAACATTATAATTATATATTAATTATATATGAACTTTGGTTTAACAGATTTCAATGCTAAGCACAATATCATTAAAAACCAAAATTAAAAAAAGTTAATTCAATACTTTTTAAATACCGTTATGTATTGGTATTCATACAAATTTTACATTGTTATTATAATGAATTATTTGCAGTGCTAATGATTAAAAAAACAAAGTTCAAGAAGTTTAAGTTGATTGGAAAATATATCATTAGGAGTACTATAATATAATTTATACAACAATAGAGAAAGAGAGAAAGAGAGAGAGAAAATGAGTGAGAGAGAAAACATTTTATTAATTACGTTTATAATGTGCACTTTCACAGTTATCTGGAATGTAAGGGACTATTTAAACCATTCTGTTAAAGTTTTCAGCTCTTCATTTATCTGAAGATGTTTGTTCGTGGACCATGTCTAAAGGTTAATTTTAGTATTGTTATAAGTTATAACTTATAACCAATGGCGTGTCTATAATATTTTTTTAATACACTCTTGTTTGAGAGAAGTGTCAAAAGAAAAATTACATTAAAAGAGTTTGAAAAGCACAGTAAAATAAAATAATACTGAAATTACATCTGTTTTAAATTAAAATGAAAGTAAGACTGTACATACCGCTGTAAAAAAGTTAATCGCAACAAACATAATTCATTCAAAATTATTTACGTATAGAAACTTGTATTTTTTTTAACGGTGAACGCGCGTTGTTTGTAAAATCTCAGCAAAATTACACAATAATTAATTATTTGCTATACAATTTTATGCTCCTCTCGTGCTGAATAAAATTATATCGTAAACATGTACGCTACACAAACAAAATGCAATTTATTGGTTATTAGGTAGTTTGCGAATACGGCGTCGATGTTTGCTCAATTCTTTAAATGTTATCGCAAGGCAATATAAAGAAAAACATACTCTCAGGATGTGTGATCCACATTTTTATATATAATTTCATAAGAAAAATGTATATATTTTGTCAAAAATAAATTAAGATGAAATATTATGTGCGAATTATTTATGATATTTTTACCATTTTAGTTTATGGTAATATTTTATTTTTTATTAAGTATCTATACGATTATAATATACGAATATATGTATGTATGTAATATGTTGAAAAATCCAAATCTAGAATAGCTGTTCCGTATTAGCACAAAGGTGCCAAAAATTAATTATGTTAACCGCATAAGATTTTTCGAAGACGATTTCAAGCAATCTCTTATTACCAATCAAGATTGCTTTAGTACAAATAATGAAAAACGTTTCGATCCAGTCGGATCTGTCAAATCAACAATGCAGATATCACTGAAGTTTAGAATACACAATCTGATTAAAACTCATCGTAGATATATACGTACATAATTATATATTTATATAAGTTTACCTGTATATATAAGAATACTTCTGGTGTGAAGGATGACGATCAATCGTTTAAATTGTAATTTTATATGAGCTTAGATTCAAAGAGATTTGCGTATATTTCAATTTAATAAACTTTTGTATATGTGTATGTATATTAATTTATTCTCTTTTAACTTGGTAAATTGTACCATATGAGAATATGAGAGAGAGTTTGTTAATTAATAATTTAACGCATGTTTTAACCTTTAAAAGATAACATATCTACCCCCATTTAATTATTCATTTGAATTTTAAACATTTTATAATCATTTAATCAATTTAATTAAATATATTATGAAAAATAATCGAGCGAGGTTTTCTGATTAATAGAAAAACTTCAACTACTGTATATTTTATAGAATATTTTGTAATCTCTACTTGTCAAAGCTTCGTTTTATTATTAAAACTAAAATTTCAAAATATAAGCTCAACTTGATTAGACTAGATAATCAATGTTTGAATCATAGTGATTTAGCATAGTTCATAATATTGAGTTATTTTTTATTGAGTTTATCTTTTTTTTTTTTTCTATGAAATTGAAATACAATACCTAAGCGTACATCAAGTGCAGATAAAACAGTCTATATATAAATACTGATTAATTATGGTTTTACAAGGCTAAAGTGTTGTAAATTATTAAATTAAACAATTAAAATAAAAATTTCAAATATAGACTCTGTCTAGGGTCTTCAAAAAAGAACGCAAGATTTAAGTCCACTATAAGTTCAATTTATTTCTTTGAAAAAAAACATAGCAAATAAATCATTCTCTTCAGAAGTTAAGGTTTAATAGTAAAAAACAATATCGGACATGTGATCCTCTCTATTAGAGCTACAGACGATTATTCTTTCCATAAAATTTACCATCACTGGATAACACATTGCCCCATCAAGTTCATTGAGAACAAGACGAATTTCTTGCTTGAATTACAAGACATTTCGAACCTTGTTCTGGTAAACTCATGACTTACTGTGTATCCCATTAAGAAAAACTCACACGGCGTTAAGTCGCAATATTGAGGTGAGTAGCTTTGGCCATACAACGAGATTAGTTGGTTCGGGAACTTCTCACGCAGCTGAGGGATTATTTCTATTGAAGTGTAACACATTGCGCCATCTTGTTATAACCATAAGAGAATACCTACTGATTTCGGTAATTTTCTTTGGCCTTATTTGGACCAAATTAACATAAAAAAATGTTTGGTGTCTACTTGTCACACTTCAAAAGAAACAATTACTCTGCTGCGTAAGAAGTACATGGACAGACTAGTTTAGTTGCGTGACCAAAACTACACATCTCGATCTTGCAACTTGATGCCGTATGATTTTTTCTTATAAAGATACACAGTAAGTCACGAGTTTACCAGAACAAAGTTCGAAATGTCTTGGAATTCAAGAAAGAAATTTATCTTGTCCTCAATGAACTTGATGGGGCAATGTGTTATCTAGTGATGGTAAATTTTACGGAAAGAATAATTGCCTGTAGGGTTAGTAAAGAGAGTCACATGTTCGATATTGTTTTTCATTGTTGAACCTTAAATTTTCCCGAAGAGATTAAGTAATAAATTTATTTTGTAGCAGATTTAAATCCTGCGTTCTTTTTGAAACACCCTATATAACGTAATTTTTAAGAGTCATTCATTACATTTAAAGTTAAATCTGATATCCGTATAAAATATGATAACGCATAAAACAACAACAAAGTTTAAAAATATAATTAATATGGATATAACGCAAGGGGACGTTTAAAAATTACTCGTATCGATCAGTCGAAAAAATGTCTTTTTTTTTTTTTTTGATTTAATAAAAGTTGTACGGTTATTTTGAGACTTGAGTTTTATTTTAAGACAGTAACAAGTTCTTATAAATTACAGGAAGGGGTGATGATTCTTTTTAATATTACATTTTTGTATTAATAAAATTGTGGTCGATGACTGATTATACGTACACTTCATGGTTCGCTGGAATTATGAAAAATAATGGGATAATTTTTGTTTTTTGTACGATCACACTGTTCTAAATCTATCCAAAACCTAATTTATAGCATAACGAATTTAAAACGAAATAAAAAATAATGAGGTGTCCAAACGGTTCATGAGTCTGAAAAAATTAGTCTTTTGGAAATTATAAAAAATTGGAGATTGCAAACTATACTGCAAGTGTAGGGGTTATTTTATCGTCCATCGTTCCATTCTGTTTGAATATTCAAATCAAGACTGGATCCGTTTATTCACCGACGTACAATGTCACGAATATATCCACGATACATTCAAATGTAATTCTCTGGTGAATTTTTTTAAATTTTTCTATTTTTTATCTTTTTTGTTTCTTCTGGATATATACTGGGATTTTGAACGCAATCCTC